CTCGAGTTAATGACCTTTCTAATCTCTTCAGCCATTGTTTACTGGTATTTGTATTGACCGAAAAAGGACAAAGAATATACAAAATACATGATTTGGGAATTTTTATAGTTCATATTATCCGATAATTAACCGTGAAGGGACGAAAAAGTTGTTCGAAGTTCGGATTAACGAGGGTTCGTCTTAACCGAACATATTTACATTGAAGCTTATGGAACTATTGTCTAGAGCAAATTTTTGTTCGCCTTAAACCAAAATTCGTGTTAACCGTGTTCGCATTAACGAGAGTTTACTGTATTATAAATAAAATATAATATTGTTTATGATAAATAACATAACACTGATTTGTCACTCAAAAATACTCACAATGTCATCATTTCCACCTGAATATATTTTCTGATTATCATTTGTGATTCCCAGGCAAAATATGTTTGATTGGTGAACAGCTTTCATTGGCTCAGGCTTCCCATGATCTAAAATGGCTTGCCCAAACTGCCAAAGCATCACCCTTCTGTCATCTCCTCCTGAAAAGCAATAAAAATACTATCCCTAAAACTCTTAACCCTTCATTCAATCCCCATAAAAATCCCATACAGTTGCATGCACCCGGCAAATACAGAGCGGTCGCATGCGACTGCACCTACCCGCAAAACTTAATACCATTAAAACTTATATTTAGAGACTACTCTTCTATGAAGAAGTTTGGCATTATAAAATCTATACAAAATTCTCTCTATAAAAGTCAAGTTTTACTTCATTACAAAAAGACTATTGTATTTTGATAACAGGAAAAAAGATACCAAGCGAATGTCGGTAGCGTGAAAATCACAATTATTTCAATATATATTACTCAAAATTATTTATGTAAAAAGATAGATTATATTAACACAAAAAAAATATTCATTACAATTTTATAATAAAACACTAGAAAAATCCAAAAATCAACACATTAACATTCAAGCGAATATGGCGTACATAATGAATGTGGATTATAAATAAATATCCATAATATAACTGTTTTTTTATTTCACTAGAGGATAGAAAATTTTATATTGATTCTATAACACCAAGCTTCTTCACAGAAAAGTAGTCTCTAAATATAAGTATTAATGGTTTAAAGTGCTGTAGGTGTGCATGGTCGAATCCGACCGCTTGAATTTTGATGGAATAGCACCGCGGTCAAATTCGACCGCTAAGAGATTGAAGGGTTAATAATATTCTACCAGGATATTTATGTTTTTACCTAATGCTTAATTTATAGTTTGCTAAGTAGCAAGAGCAGGTGCAACATAGTGGCAGTGTCAGGGAATCCACTACCCAATATCATTTTGTGGTTGTAAGAGGCAACTGAAGACCAATTTACACTTCGACCAGTACAGTAGCGAGTTTAGTTACAGGGCAGTTGACAATAAACGGTTAAGTGGGCAGTAGCATTCAAACAATGTCTTTGTGGCGAGTTTAGTTAACAATATTAGTTCATAGTTTGTTAGAGTATAGCGCTCCAAGACTACAGAATTTTTCTTGTTTTTGTTTAAGATGGTTCTATGATTAAGTCAAGAAACTAACACGTAAACTCGCACATTCACAAAAGCGGCGAGTTTAGTTGCGGGTGGTGGGAGACGCGCAGGAGGGCAGCACTTCACACTTAACTCGACGAAAAATAGCCCGGCCGGCTATCCCATTCAACTTAATTGTTAACTTGCTACTTACTTAACTCACTTATTGCCATTCAACTGAGATTATCTACTTAACTCACTGAGTTTGCAAGTTAACTCGCTACTGAACTTGTCGAAGTGTAAATCGGTCTTGATGGAGTAATTGTAGTTAACTTAAAATATTAAAAAAGCAGGCTTTAAATTCCAAGAGTAGCAACATATGGGAGATATGAGATGAAGCACTTTCCTTTGCATTTCTGATATTCGCACATAACACATACCACCATAATTGTTTACATGTAGATTTAACTAATAACGTAACATTTGCACTTCCTGCCAGTGTTAATAAGCTTTAAGAGAACTTGTAAAACAAATAACCGATTAAATAAAATTTCAATTTGGGGTAAAAATAGAATTTAGCAAGGTAGTTAAAGATTTTTCAAATCTTTAAATGTTCATCCAGATGATTTTTTAGTTTATAGAGATGAATTAAATCCTGATATAACTTTATTATAATTTAAGTTAGATACTATAAAAAGAAATATACTGCAAATATGCATAAATTAAAAAAAAAACATTATGGTGAATTTTTTTTACCCGATACGAGCAATTCGCCATTGCTGGAAAACTCGATAGCGTTTACACATCCGAAATGGCACACTAAATCCCGTCGATACAAATTCTTCGCAGCATTAAGCCGTTTACTAAACAATTGCGACTTAATATTAGGAATAAGTCCATATTCTCTTTTAGTTAAATAAGGTAAAGGGTTGGCAATATTCGCCATGTTTAAGAGATTACCACCATTTTATTATCACTTCACTTCTCCTTCTCTTTGACTTTATTCGGCTTTCGGCACTCGCTTTTGACGATCAGCTGTACATTGGGTGCGTTTGGCAGAAAAAAGCGCTAGCAAGCGCTTGTAAGCAAAATGGCGATCGTAAGCGGTAAGCGCTGTCAAATCGTAAGTAGCTATTTTCCTCCAGGACACGATGTTAGTTTTAAACGGGGAACCTAACCAAATTTAAATATATGTTTGTAAAGTATTCGTATTAAAAACTTACCAATCATTAATTTTTAATAACATGTATATGTTTATTCATGTCATTATATTACTTAAAACTAATATTGCACAAAACAACTTATAAACTCTACTTCAAAACAAACAAATTAAATAAGCAAAATGGCGGATTGTGTCAGCGCTACTGAAGTAGCAATCGTGTCCTGGCCGAAAACTATTTCGGCGCTTATAAGCGCTTGCTAGCGCTTTTTTCTGCCAAACGCACCCATTTTTTAACAATATTTAACGTTCCATTATACAATACTGTGACTTTTCATAAAAATTATGTTATGAAAATGTCGCTTGAAAATATTAATGTAGAGATTCTATCGATTTATCAAACAATCGTTAGAATCTCTACATTAAAGTCCCAGTTTACATCTAATTACTATATTCTTTTTCATCAATTAAAATTTTAAAAATAATTTTAAAGTGATATTGGCTAAATAAATTTAATTTTAAAAACGTAAAACAATATTTTACTTAATAATTTCTTATAAAATCCGTAAGAAAAGTAGTTTTAATCAATATTTAACATTTTATAATTAATTTTTATAAGATATTTCATTGAAAAATACAAAGTAATAGGCGACATAAACAAATTTTCAAAAAAAGATTAAATAGCAACTAGGTTGTGCTGTTTTTCTAAACTTATCAGACATGAAGGTATCCTTCCGATGTTTCCATCACCGCCGAGCATGTGGTAAATCTGCGCATTGTTACCAACGGGAATCACACCCGAGTTGTTCGCATAATAGAACGCCGAAGGTATTTGGAATAAATTACTTTCATGACAAGACCTTATTTTGTACTACTTCCGCTTATATTTATTTATGTATTTCTACTTTAATTAAAACGGATAAACCAAATACATTAATATAAAGTATTTATTGTTTTCGCTCACAAAACTTTAGACATTCAAATAATATTACTGTCCATTTATTCGCAAACAGTTTCTTTACATTGTTTCTGCTTAATTCTGTTTATGATAAAACATATCAATATGATGTTATTTAGTAAATTATAATAATAAAATTCCTAGAATTCCAGGTGGATTGCCGTACAATTTCAATTACTGACGGATATCGAACCCTAGTCACTCACATACTGTAAAATTTACGACGAGTGCTTGTTGTTTAAATAACCACGACTATGTATGTATTGAGTGATTTGATTAAATTTTAAATTGATGTCGGTTTATAACTATAAAATAAAAATCATTTTCTCAAGCCTTTCATTGTTTGATATAGGCAAATATATTAGTGGCTTTTTAGTTATGTATCTCGCGTTTTTATAAAATGCACAAAATGTTTTATTCAATATTTTTTGCAAATTAGTTGAATAAGCATAAATATATGATAAGAAGACACTATGTTAAAACTTGCAGTGTCCAAATGACCCGGCACGGATGGTATTTTCCAATTTTAATCAAATATTACATACTGTAAAATAAGAGAACATGCTCGTGGGTGCCCGCATCACCTCACTAGACGCAGCGGTCATTCGTAAGGAGACGCATTAACATAATATTGTGAAGTAATGTAAATAAAATACAAACTAATATAGGCTGTATGGTCTATGATTTTTGCTTGCATTAATTGGTGAATACTAACAACGGGTGCGTTAGGCAGAAAAAAGCGCTAGCAAGCGCTTGTAAGCAAAATGGCGATTGTAAGCGGTAAGCGCTGTCAAATCGTAAGTAGCTATTTTCTTCTAGGACACGATGTTAATTTTAACCGGGAAACCATACCTAATTTAAATATATGTTTGTGAAGTATTCATATTAAAAACTTACCAATCATGAATTTTTAATGATTGACATGTATACATGAATGAGACATGTATATGTCTATTCATGTCATTATATTACTTAAAACTAATATTGCAAAAAAACAACTTATAAACTCAACTTCAAAACAAACAAATTAAATAAACAAAATGGCGGATTGTGTCAGCGCTACTGAAGTAGCAATCGTGTCCTGGCCGAAAACTATTTTAGCGCTAGTAAGCGCTTGCTAGCGCTGTTTTCTGCCAAACGCACCCAACGACTAACAACAATTTTGAATTCTGTAACTTGTCTCCTTGACACTGACATTTTTATTGACATTTATAGTCATAGATACCAATATAGATACGTACGTCAACGAGCTAAGCGCATGCTTTGTGTTTTGATTTTAAATATAGATAGCCGCACATTGAAAATAAGCTCTGTTAATAACTGATTTGTGCAACATTTTGGCCCTTTTTAACGAGTAACATTGGGGTCTAAAAATATGGTAATAGCAGCAATGAAAAAGTCAGCTGTAAAAATATCTGGTAAATTTAGTTTCTATTTTTCTAAATTACTTTAACAAGTAATAAACTATTTGTTTGTATATCTTAGTTTCAGACTCTGGATCAGAAAATGAAAATGAAGAATCAGAATATGAAAGAGAAATTAGTGAAAACGAACAAATTTCTTCAGAGGAATCGGACAATCAGAGTGACAGTCAAGACGAAGGAGTAATGTTAACAAATGAGGGCTGGGCCGATTCTGTTGCAAAGATTTTAGGTTCTAGTAAGCCAAAAAATAAAAAGACTTTAGTATTATCAAGAGCTAAGAAACATTCAGAAATAATAAAAAAGGATAAAGATGAAAAACCAGCATTTGAAGTAGTTGGCGACAGTGAGCAAACTAAGAACGAAGAAAGAAAAGAAGAACTTGTTTCATCTGAGCCTCCAATAAAGAAAAAGGTTAGTAAGACTTAGAGACCTTCAAGTAAAGAGCCTTCTCCTTTTTAAAAGGCTGGTAACGCATCTGCAATTCCCCTGGTGTTGCAGTTGTTCATGGCGGTAATGACTTACCGTCAGGTGAGCCATATGCTTGTTTGTCTACTTTCTTATATTAAAAAACTTATAGTGTTACACATGGTTATGTTCCTTTTATCACCTCAAATACTTCCTTCCTATTAAGTCTAAGCTTATGCTTGTCCAAATTCTTATTTGATCTATCTTTGATTATGCAGATGTGTCCTACCCTGACCTGTCCCAAGAACTTCTTAACAAGCTGGAGAGCCTGCTTAATAACTGTATTAGATTTATTTTTGGTCTGCGTAAGTATGACCATATTTCTCATTACAGATCTCAGCTTAAGTGGCTTACCATAAGGCAAAGGCGTAACTCCAGAATATTACTTGTTCTTTTTTCAATTCTAAATGATCCATATTCACTTTCTTATCTCAAAAAACGATTTCAATATCTCTCTTCTTGTCGTGATAGGGTTCTTCGATCCTTTAATAACAAGATTTATATTCCTACTCATCTCACCAGGTTCTTTGGTAACCCTCTGGATACTTCTCTGAAATTACTTGCTTGATGATATCAGAAAAGTGCCTAACAAATACTCCTTTAAAGATGGTATGCAAGCATTTACTGAAGAAACATTAGAATTACAATATATGTAGTTAAATAGTCATATTTATCTGTATGTATATGTATTAACTCTGTATTTATGTATATTTATATCCATATATGTGTTGTATGTATATTTATTTGTAATTTTTTTTTATGTAAATATATATATATATATATATATATATATTATATATATATATTGTGGCATGCTGTCATCGCACCGCAAGCGAAATACACTGAAGCCTAAATCACGCTATCAACATTCCGAATCATAAACAGTATATCGTCAGTGAAGTTCTAACAGTGCGAAAGTCAAAAATGTCTATTTTACAGGAGAGCAAAATAACCGTGTAAAATTATTATATGCTATATTTGAGGTATACTTATTGGGAAAACTTATTTAAAATTAAGTTATTAAATAAATAAAATAAGATTTAAATAAAGTTATTTTTATTAATAAGGTATTATCGTGACTTCTGCTCTGTTCATTATGTTCATATTAATTTGCTTTGACTTATGTCATGTTTCTTAGTCAGATAATTGGATAGTAATTACAAAAAGTTAAATCAAATTTGTGTTGTTTTTAAGGAACTTGACAAATGAAAGATATTGCACAAGTAAAGATAAAAATGTAGACATTATATTATTATTATCAAAATAACAACATTTTTTTTTTCTTAAACAAACTGGGTGTATTAAAATTATCAAAATAAACTTAAACTATAAGTCAAATCAAAATACTCAAACCTTAAAAAAATTAAAAAAAAGTTTTCAAATGTATTTGCCTATACTAAGAACATAATAAGGAATCCATAAATAACGTATCAATGAGGTAGAAAATCATAGTATCTATGACAGTCTAAAGGAATGACCGCCTTCAATTCTTGCAAATGTCGCCATTTACTTTCAGCTATTTTTATTGCACTTTGGTAAAGCTTTGGTCTACTGGGTAGATTTTCAGGGATCATCAAGTAGAGTTCTGCCGCAAGGCAACTCTTGATATTCTGCATCAAAGCTTAATTTGTACTTAATTATTCCATTAGCGTTATATTGTAACACTCTTAAGTCTGTGACAGTAGGATCGTTGGTTGTTCGACCTGGCCGTATAGAGTCATAAACAAATGTATTCTTTTGAGTGTAGTCCTCAAAAAACTCGTAACTCAAATACTCAACTATATAAGGCTGTTTAGGTCTAGCTTCCTTGGAGAGTACTCCATATTGAGAGGGCAGGAAGATCTCCTTATTTTTGGTTTTCTGCTCGATGGAACTGTGCACTGCGTCACACTCCATCTGCGTATGTCCCTTTTCCAAAAACTTTTGTTCGATTATGACATTTTTTTCTATTGTTAATTGCAAAAGTGCATTACTAAGGAAAATATTCCTATTCTGTGGCGTACAACCATCAGAAAAAAGGATAATAGGAACACATTTTTGCTCTAAAGTTCTCAGTATGTGTATGATACATGAAATAAATACAGAAGCTGTTAGACCAGCGTTTGTTTCATCGAACCAGTAGCAGTAGACATCTTTGGTTTCTAGATTATACATTGTGAAATTATTTACGCAGAGTTTAGTTTTGTAATAAAGAGCACTGGCCTGTAACTGAGGACACAACTTGACAGCTTGTAGGTCATGCGTAAAAATATGTATATCACCGAATTGTTGAGCTCTATCTTTATCCCTTAATTTTTTATTTCTGGCCATGTCCTTTAAGCGTATATGAGCGTTATATTTATCATCCGTTATATTTCCCACTTTGTGTGAGCAGCAAGTGTCGCATTGATCCTTTTTTGGTGTAAACAGGCTCAGGTTTAGCTCATCAAATACTTTGCAAAGGGTCCAGCGGCTGAGAGGAGCTCTTTCAGTTTTTTCACACTCTATGGTATACAATCTGTACAACGCGGTTTTGTCATCAATAATCGGCTCTAAGTATTGTTTTGATGTACTCGCTCTGCAATAATGCGATGGCATTTTAGGCAACGAAGCAAAAAATTGTTTGAGAAAAGCCACGTCATCTTTCTTGATAGTTCGTTCTTCATTGATGTCATTAGTAATAGTTTTTGCTATCCCATGCTCAGAAGATGCCACCCAGCATCTTACAGTAGACTCTTTTAACCCTAAAGTCTTTAAAAATGTCTGCATACACACCTGAATTCATCCAATAGACATATTCAAAAAGTATTGTTTGCTATCACAACTTCTAGAATTTGTTGTATTTTTAACTTGCTTTTTCTCACAAATCAAGACATGAGATACAACATACTGTTTTCTTTGCTCCCATGACATGTCTTTCCAGAACTTGAAAAATATATTCTGCCTTTCATCTTCAGTCAAGCTTGAACAACCACGGACCTTAGACTTGGTACAAAATGTAAAAGTGCACCTTGGACCCATTTCACGTGCTGGACGAGGTATGTCATGGAGTACTTTGAATTTCTCATTTCCTAAAACCTTCTTATCTCTACGATATCCCACATACTCCTCTCCTTTCATACGTTTAATTTTTGTAATTGATTTGTCCCATTTCTTAGAGTTTCCGAACCCCTTTAAGCTTCTTTTTCTATTTGAATTTAGATCTCCATATTCATCATCCGATTGTCGCTTCTCTAATAACAAAGATGAAGTGTGGTTTCGTTTTTGCCTCGTTTTTTTTCTCTATTGGAATGAAAATTCAAATTCCAATAAAGGTATATTTCTTTGTTTCTGTTTTTTTAAAGGAACTCTAATATTCAATTCTTTACACAAATCTAAAATCATTTCCTCATCTTCACTGTTACTTGTTGTAGCATCCATCATTTATAAGCCCTGCAAGAAAATAAAAGTTATAATAACATTACGTATTATTCGATTCAAACTTAATGGTGGTTCGGAAGTTAGCTGCGAGTGCAGGTGCGCGCAGGTACAGTCAAGTTGACAAAAATTTAGGCTCAATTTAATTATTTTAAAAGTTTTGTGTTTTAAGCTCTGTACATATAGTACATAAATGTCAGTTAGCAAGTATGTGGAGAGTTCAAGGAAGAAAAATACAGATGAATTAAGAACCTCATCCTTTTTTGAAGTCGGTTAAAAATAAAACAGATTTTATAAACAATATATAAAGTTTTTATTTTCATTTTAAGTTAAGGGCTGTATCCCTTCTATAAAAACGTATTTGCTTGTGGAAGGAGCTTCAAACTGTAAACGACAGGACACTGTAAACGAATATTAGACTGCTCTATTAATACTTTTCTCTCATTTTGGGTATTCTTCCATTGAAACCCTAATTGTTTTAATATTCGGCCTAAGCCGGTTACACCGTTGAAATTTATGTCGTCTTTTAATTTTCTTTGTAATGGTTTAAAAGTGTTGGCAACTCTTTTTCAGTCACGTGAAAGTTGTGCACGCACCTTTTGATGACACCTTGGTCGAAGCTGTCAATATTCGTCACTCTCTTGACTCCCTTCCTTTTTTTGCCAGGAGTACGAAAGACGGCTACCATCTCCGACTCATTTGCTGTTGCAGCTATTCTTTGTACAGTCCTTAGTGAGACGCCTGTAGCTGCTGCGGCTCGTTTTTGAGCTTCAGAGGAATTTGGACGCAGTCTTCACTCTCCTTTTTCATAAATTGCACGACATTATACACCATTTTTCTGGCTTGCCTGCGTAAAACGTTGTATCGTCCGCGAGGCATATTTAAATAAAATAATAAAAATACTTTCCCACAACCAACAACAGTCTAAAACTTAATGTGTGTAACACACAGATGAAAACAAAACAGTCAATAACAATAAAAACTTAACGGAACAAAAACAAACAAAAAAAACGTAACAGAACAATTAACAAACAGTAACAATTTATGGGCTCAACTGTACGTAAGCAGGAGTGTACGTAACTCAAACACTAAAAGCAAACGCGTCGCGTGAGTGCGTATGAGACAGAGGGCGCGCGGCAGCGCGCGCGGCGATGTGCCCCGCCACCACGTCCCTCTACATCCCGCTGATACCCAAAAATTGTGTTCTGCGCATTGGAACGTACGATGTTCCGAGCAGCCATTAAGTTTGAACAAATGTGTAACTCATATCGACAACACTGCGTAAGTCAAACAATTTTCAATTCGGCGATTTATAATTGTTATTTCAAAATAATTCATAAATGTTTTATGTAATGTAGCTTAAGTACTAAATAAAAAATAGTTTTATTATAAGTATACCATTGAATAACGCAAATAATTACCTTTGCTAGCAATAAATCTCACAGTACACTTTGCAAGTTACGAATATGTATGCTGACTGACTGACTTACGCTGTGTTGGCCTGTATGTTTACTTACGTGGTGTCAGTTTAATCGAAAAATACGGCGTGATTGGTTAGCTATTTCTTTTCTGATTGGTCAAAAGAAGGCGCATTATCGTTATTCACCGAATGGCGTTAAAATGTTGAAACCGCCAAAAAATGACTGAATGTTAGAACTTCACTGACGATATATAGCACATCTCCGAACTATCACACGGAGTGTTGGCCGCTCCCCGGGCAGAACACCTTGCCCGGCGGGAGATCTCCCCTTTTCCTTCCACTGCCACAATATATATATATATATATATATATATATACATTATGACAGCGAATATTGGTCCATTAAACAATTTCAAGGATAGTGTTTAACTAAGTTCTTTGAAAATTTACCATATGTCGATATAAAAATATTCGTATATTGCCAGACGGAGGGAAACCAATCAGGACTCCTTTCCATATTACAAATTATCCAGAATCCCCGTAATATACCTAGTTTTTAATTCATTCTCCTGCTTAACGCAATTCCTTTGTATGGTGCGACGTTGCCACTCTTATTGGTTATTCCGCTTTGTAATATTTTATTTATAGGTGATATTTTTTATGTAGGTATTCGATAGATTCGTATTAGTCTGTTTTTTTTCGCAGTAGACAAAAATAACAGATCTTTACTAGATTCGTTTAGCATGAATAATACAGTTTTTATAATTCTGGTTCAGATTAGATTTAATTTTAGTCACTTAACTTTCGTATATTGTTCAAAATAATGAAATAAATCCACAGAATGTGCAGTTACGAAAAATACGCAATATTATTTTTGTCTCCGGAAAAAAAACCAGATATCATGATTAATTTACCAACTAGTTATTCGTTTACTAAATTCGAAAAAATATCTAAGATTGCCGCGATACATTATACCTAGATTGACTATATTATTATTTATTTTACTATTGTAAATAAGTACTAAATTAGATATTGACAGGTTGTTAATTTCTACAATAGACCGTGGCGTATTGTTGCTGACATGAATAACTCCGAAAATATAATTTATTTACTTGATCTTATTGAGTTTTGGTATTAACATCAATGGCGAGTACATCACTCACCTTCGATTTGCCGACGATATAATTCTTATGGCAGAATCCCTCAGACCTCAATGGTGTCTCCCAACGGATAAGTCTTAAGATGAACATGGACAAAACAAAGATTATGTTGAATGTCCATGTCACACCTATGCCTGTAGTTATGGGGAGCACTATGCTCGAAGTTGTTGACGAGTACGTTTACCTGGGACAAATAGTCCGACTAGGTGAGTCCAACTTCGACCGAGAGGTCAATCGACGAATTCAACTCGGCTGGGCAGCGTTCGGGAATTTACGACACATCTTCTCGTCAGTTATACCTCAATCTCTGAAAACTAAAGTGTACAACCAGTGCGTGTTGCCAGTGATGACTTACGGATCAGAGACGTGGTCCTTCACTGCTGGCCGTATGAGGACGCTCAAGGTCGCTCAGCGAGCTATGGAGAGGGCTATGCTCGGAGTTTCTCTGCGTGATAGACTCAGAAATGAGGATATCCGCAGTAAAACTAGAGTTACCGACATAGCCCAACGGATTAGTAAGCTGAAGTGGCAATGGGCCGGCCATATAGCTCGAAGAACCGATAACCGATGGGGAAGAAAGGTTCTCGAGTGGCAGCCTCGTACCGGTAGGCGTAGTGTAGGGCGACCCTCCACTAGATGAAGTGACGACCTGGTAAGACATGCAGGAAGTCGATGGATGCAAGTGGCTCAGGACCGTGCTTTGTGGCATTACTTGGGGGAGGCCTATGTTCAGCAGTGGACTTGTGAAGGGCTGTAATAATGATGATGATGATGATTGAGTTTTGGTGCTCTCACTGCGAGTTTACTTTTTATGATCACTATCTTAAAGATGAGTGCGAACTATTTACCTATTCTGTACAAAATTACTCTCTACTTAACTAGATTCATTTTTGTGAAAGGCTATTTTTGTTGATATGATATTATGTTTGGTTTTGCAGTTAGTTGAAATACAATTTGTTTATATTTGACGTCCATATTTTTGAATTTTGTTATATTTCTATATGTGGATGTCATGTTATCGGTAGTTTCATACCGCACGATATTTGACGTCCATATAACCATGAATATATTTATATTTTAATTCCTTGTTTATAAGACACACATTAATGATCATTGCTTTAATGACATTTTTTGTTATTGTTTTATTCGTATTTTAGTGTAGTGAGGCCATGCGGTGTAAAATAGTCACTTTGGTGTTTTATAAAATGTTTCGTTCTAGAAATGATGAAACACTTAGAAGCTTAGAAAACGTGTGTGAAAATTTAAATTGTATTTCAACTAACTGCAAAACCAAACATAATATCACATTTTTAACAAAAATTGCCTTTCACAAAAATGAATCTATTTAAGTAGAGAGTAATTTCGTACAGATTAGGTACAATAGTCGCACTCATCCTTAAGATGCACTGAGAGCACCAAAACTCAACACGATCAAGTAAATAAATTATATTTTCGGAGTTATTCATGTCAGCAACAATACGCCACGGTCTATTGTAGAAATTAACAACCCATTGGCAGTTAATGCAGTAAAACCTTATATTAAAATTAGTTTCTTCGCCAGACCATATTAGGTTATTAGTGAGAGGTTATTAGTCACAATATAATAAAACAAACTTCTATGAAACCTGTCAGTATCTACATTTGAGTCCATCTTCCTGTACTCAATCAGAAGGTAACTTATACTGAAACAAAATTATGGGTTGCTTACGAAATACCTAACAAAAGTTCTTTTAGGCAGATTAGTACCAAATGTAAAATGTTAAAATATAGTG